TCAGACACTTGAAAACATCCTCTTCTAAAAAAGATTAATTGGCTTTAAAACAATTTAATTCAGCTTTGAAGATGCAACTTTTATTAGCAACCAGCAGATGGCAGACGCAGAGGCCGCTTGGAGCCTTCAACAAAAGAAAGCTCTCAAACAAGGCACGCATTAAAAGGGAACGATTTTAATGCCTACTTTTTCTTCTCCCTCAGTGGCTTCTTTTCTCCTTCCTTCCAAGCAATGAGTACTATTTTGTGCCAATCAGCCCAAGCCAAGTTTCAAACAATTTTAGCAGACGGCACATCGCTGGAGAACACGTTTTCTCAGTTTTCTCAAATGGCACCCCTACTCCATCTCGCAGCTCAAGGCTTCCGTGTTACGGATATCGCTGGAGCAGCAGTTTCCTTCTGGATTGCACAGTCGCAATTCACCGTCAGCCACCAAAAACGTTCTCTGTGGTGACCTCTGCTTCAGGTCAGGAAGTGGACATATAGCTACACCGAGGCTGAATTTCCCCTCGGGATTTGAACTTGTGGTATTCTGGGGCTGCGAAAATAAGTGGGCTACAGGAGAGGCAGAGGGATGTGCTGCGCCTTGCAACATGGCAGCATTTGCAAGCTGGAGGAAAGGGAAAGAATTTTAACAATCTGGAGTAAAAGTAGCCTGTTTGGGAAGCGAAAAATATTTCAGTTCTCAGCACGCTTCGTTTTTAAAACCGGATATCCTATCTCAGAGAAAGAACACGAAAACGCGCGTGCCAGCAGCGCCCATTCAAGAGGGCTTAGGAGCAGACTCGGCACCACGCGGCGTTTCCGCGCTGCGGGGACGGGGTCACCGCTTCGCGCTGTGTCACAAGGGCAGAACGGGGCCCGTTACGGGAGCGCTGCCTGCGGCTCCGCTGCGCCGGGCGAGGCGCCGCTCGGCCTCCCTCCGCGCCCTGCTCCGCGCGCGCTCCTCCTGCAGAATAGGGAAGGCTTCCTCCCCTGCCCCCTCCTCGTCAGTGACACCTGCAAATCACTAATCCGGTTGCCATTTATTTCCATATGTCAAATTACAATCTTAACTTGTGCAAAGCAACATAATAGTAATGATTAAGCCAATTACATCACAACGCAGCTTAAAACTACACACAAAGGCAGGATTAAAGCTCGCTCCCAAATAAGAGAGGCCGGCTCTTGGTGGAGCTCCCCCACTGTGGGAACATAAGTGTCTCTTTTCCTGTTGCACAAAGTTGTGAGCCTCCTGACATGTAGCTGCTGGACTGCCATTAACAAACGTATTCATACGAGCGCTGCCCTGGGCTGGGCTCCCTGCACTCGCCGCGAGCGCGCTGCCACGGGCTGGCGGCGCCCTCCATCCGCGTCCGCGTCCGCGTGGGGCGCGAGGACGAGGTGATCTCAGCCTCCGCCCCGCGCTATGTGGGTCAGGTACTGCCGGCAGCAAAAGCCTTGGGGACAGGGAGGGAAAGAAAAGGAGAGTAACCCGAGCGCTGAGATTAAAAAAAAAGTCAAGCATCTCGGTCTCTAGATAGGGCCGGCTCCCATTTTTAACCTGTCTGGGGGACACGCTGCAGCATTCTGCACCGTAATTGCAACCGATGCCAATATGAGGCTCAAACGACAATAAAATGTGGGTTAAATCTTTATATAATAACCAACCTTTCAGACTAAGATTTTCAATTCTACCTAAGGGATTAAAGCGTTCTAATGGAAATTGAGCATCTAAATCCCTTAGGAGGATTTAAAAAACTCAGACACGGTTATTTTTATTTGTTCGCTGCTGTGGTGTTAAAATCAGCACCATTCAAAGTGGTTAAATCTTTTACCTTTTATTTCTGTTTTGTGCACCTTACCATTCTTTTTTTTTTCTCCCCCCTCTTTCTTTTTCACATATTTGTATCTCTCCTTATTTTCTCTACCATCTGGGAGCACTGGGCCCATCTGCTAAAATATATCTTCCTATTCCAGCTAAAATCAACACAAATTAAATTGGTACTGTTAGTATTTTACATGTCATCATTAGGCTTTAATAAAATTAATGGGACCGAAGGAGTTTCCAGCTCTTAAATACATTGTTTTGCACTGACTGCAGACTCGGGCAGATACCATTGCATCCACTCATTCTCATGTTGTCTTAGTCTCTTGGCAACTCTGGTTCGAAGGAAACTTATTTATAAGCCTAAGTTTATACTCAGTAGAGCCTGAAAGAACCAGGCAGAATTGCTAAGTCTGCCCCTCATCACCTACCAGCTGCTCATGATTTGCTGGGCCATCGTTTGCCTTACACCTCTGCATATACAAGCATGCACATGCCGCAACCATTTTAAATACTGAAAATGTAAGACCAGTCAAAAGCCTATTTTTTTTTAAGAGACCAACATGACACACACATGCATATATAAATTAAATTGAATGCCACTTGTACAAGCTTCAAAAATGCTGTTACAACACACTAATAGCTTCCCCTTTCTATTAGCTGCCCAGAAAGCTCAATGTTTTTGTTTCTGACCATTCAATCAAAAGGAAGGCCTGGACATAACACTGTCAAAATGTATACATCTTTATAGTTATCAGAAAAAAACTCTTATTTAAATTTAACTGAAAAAACGCTTACACTTTAATGAATCATTAAACAGTAGTGGTCTCACATATATATGCACGAAATAAAGAAAAATGGTGATGTTCATATTAAAAATGGCATCTTTACTCCAACAGATGCCTTGTATTCTACCTTTGTTTTGGAGAAAATCTTTCTTGTTAAAAAGCAGCGTGGAAGAAACACTTTGAAGAACTGTTACTAAGGATGTGCAATTTGTATCTGTTCTAAGCTTAAGGATTAAAGATAAGATCTGGAAGCTTTATAACTTCCATCTACCTATCCCCTGATTTATTTTTGACAAGGCGAAACAGCAGCTTTGGTTTTTATTTCCCTTCTAACTTAAAGATTGTTTTGTCCAAATCCATATGCAGAGCTTGCCCCCAAAGGACTCTGCAGCCGATTCCTTCCTGTGCTTGTCAGCCCAGACCCCAGGATTGAAGGGAAGGGCGAAACGTCCAGGTCTCCACTCTGTGGGCAACAGCTCCGGGGCAAGGGAACGCCGCTCTGCCGTCCCACGCGTGTCCCTTCCCAGGGAAACGGAGCCTCTCGTGGCCAGGGGGGCTACTCACCACCAGACTGACGGGGATTTAAAACGAAAGAACATTATAAGGTCTTCCAGCATTTATAAATGCTTTTTTCTTACAGCAGAGTTGCTACAGGAAACGCAGCCTGTAAGACGAGGCAATAAATGCCCAAGGACAGGTGGAAGGGACAGGGCCCGCAGAGGGGCCGCTCCTGCAGCAACCCGAGGGGCACGTGCGGCGCCCGCGATTGCAAAGACAGCGCCGGGAACTCGCCTGAGACCCCCAAGGAAATGCAAGGCGCAAACGGGTAGCGGGGCTAGCACTGCGTGCTGCAGCAAGGTTCAACTCTTCCCATCTCTACAGTCTCGCAAATTTTCCTGTTTTAAGAAAGACTAAGATTTGTTTGTCATTGAGACAAGCAACAGAGGAAGCATTCTTTAAGGAGGAAAGGGAAAAAAAATATTTCATAAGAAGCCTATAATAGGTACCTAAAACAAATCCTGCGATTAACACACATGGGGTGAAATTTTCTTCTGTCTTTTTTTTTCCCAACAGATAATTCCCCTAAACAGATATTCCCCTAAATATAGATATTTTATTATAATGTAAGACTACTTTCTAAGAAAGTAGTTTCACCTTGCAAGTTTAGCCATAAAAAACAGTAAGAAGTAGTAAGAAGCCTCCTTTCACAGTGTTTTAGTTGTGAGAGCTATTGGCTACAATAATCTTCAGTAATATTTCTGTTTACCCAGCTAGTCTGAAGGATTATGGAGATCAGTTCACAAGAGCTGACCCTCCAGGTTTATTAAATATTCAGTGAATATTCTGTATGCATGCTGGGTATTAAATAAAAAATGGAAAATACTGCAGACTACCATATGTTAAATACTTCGAGTAATACTAGAGTAGTTCTATTTATTTTTTGATAATTGATTTAAATCAGTATCGGGTATCACAACATAAAACATACAAAAAGGACACAACTGTAAGGTCTGGAAGCATGAACACTTAGGTGACGTTTTGTTTGTTTGTTTATGGAATTCTAAATAAATATTCCAAATGCATACCATCTTTTCTTGATCTTTTTCACATTGGTAAGTAATGACACTGCTACCTTCTCACCTGCAGTGGTATCACTGCATGTGGGCTCTCAGCAGGAGGAAATTCTTCACCGCCATGATTCAGCCAAGTGTTCCTCCACTCTCCTGCTTCCCCTCCCCATCCACTCTCTTTTCTCAGCTAACTAGATCTAGCCTACACACAATCTGCCTTGCCTAAAATCATCTGCTATTAGTGCTCAATTAAAAACCACGGTCAACACCAGAAGGTTCACAGGCCAAAAAACGTCGAGCGATAATTAGGATATACCCCGTTTGTTTTGCACAGCAGGCCTGAAGCGATCTCTCCAACACGTATGCTCTCCTGCCATACATGGGTCTACAGTTGAACACAGGGTGATGCAGCTGTTTAGTGTATTGCTTTCTACTTGACATGTACTGTGAAAAAGGATCATAAACAAAGTGGCTTACTCAACAGATTGCAAAGCAGATAATGACGAGGATTTTTAATCTGCAAGTCTGGGAAATAAGAACAAATCCAACACTTTGGCAACTCCAAACTTAAAAGTCATTAGAAAGCTGAAATTCCACTTTTCCACCTGGGCTTCCCTAACTAAAATTGGCTTAAATAATTTATATGAAATGACACGACTAAAACAGCCTATATGCCGTTCTCGAATACCACATATGAGGGAAAATTCTCTGAATTGCTGGACATATGTCACAGAGGCCTCTACTCTCAGCCTGAAAGTTACCTTCTGCTGTGACTCCACACCCAATAATTTAAAATTATGGGACCTCGATAACGAAACTGCATCAAACTACACACCTTGTGTCCAAATGTAGCATCCTCCGAGGCCAAGACTTCAACCTGAAAGTATAAGGAGAAAGATCATTTCAAACGTAGCCACCACCACCGACCTCTCCTGAGCACAGCACCACAGTCCAAGCAAGGGGAATTCCACAGGCGAGGACGCAGACTGGGTCGGCCCTAACTAGCCCTAACTGGTGGCCGACAGCAGACACTCGACGCAGGAAGACCCTTCAAGGCTCACACGACATCTCTCAACCTAAACCAGGCGAGGAACACCTGGAACACCTTTTGGTGTCCCAAAACTTAATGCCCAACAGCTGGAACCTTGTTTTCCATAGACAGTCTGGCCACAACAAAAAGCAGCCTGAGGACCACCAGAATCACCAGCCATGGCAACTCCCCATTAAAAAGCGAGGAACAATCCAAGCTCTTCCCCTCCTGTTTTCTTCCACCTAGTCAGCTGATCATTCCTGCACCAGCATGGAGCGCAACAGCTAAATCTGGGCACTGGGCAGCACGAGGGCTCCCGCACAAGCCTGCCCTGCCTGGCGCCCGCTGAGCTCCCTCGGAGCCTGGGAGCGCGGGGAAGACGGGCTCCCCACCAAGGCTGCGGCCACCGGGCTGCGAGACGCAGCGAGCGCCGCGAGGCCGGGGAAGAGGCGAGTGCTGAGCGCTCCAGCCGAGCTCCGCATCAAACTCCTCGCTGGTCGCTGCCACAAAGCCCACAGCTCGAAGCGCTGATACGCATTAATCTGGGGCAACGGCTACAGAGGCAGGAAAGCAGGCGCGCTGATTTTTCATTAGTCTCCTTAAAAATGCTTCACACTTCAGCACCTTTTGCCTGAGAACCTCAGTGCATTATGATTTCTAATTAATTAAGCTTCCCAATAGTCCGGTGAATTAGGAAACATCATCATCTCGATAAACAGAAGAACAAGGCAGAGAAAGGTTAACTAATCTCCTAGTAACCACGTGCCAAGTCTGGGACACACTCAAGAAAAGCAGCCCGGATTTCTACTCCCAGGCTCATAGTTTAGCAAGTAGGAAATTCTCTACTTCTGATTTACATCCTATTTTAAACGCCTACTGCTGCATTATAATTTACATAACTAGTATAACTATAACTAATGTATCTAATCTCCAGTTTAACTTAAGAAGAGTGAAGGATTTAAAGCAAATCAAGGGGAGGAAAAAAATGAATGTCAAGTTTCAGCCTGAAGCACATTATACTGCCAGAGTTATAAACCCTTGAACAAGAGGGTTGATAATGGAAAGGCTGATAAACTAACAATGATGGCAGCACTTAAATATATTTATGTCATGATCTAGCAACATATGGTATCTCTTCATCTCTAAATTAAAAAAGGGGTGAGAAAAAGGGAGGGAGAATAAAGGATTTATAGGAACTAGGGATAAAAGTAGAAAAGGAACCTCATGTTACCTAATTGTGACCTGTCCAGCTGATTAGGAATGGCACTCGGAGGCTACAAAATGGGATCTCATTCAATAGGAGGCAGGAAAAAAATCCAAGTAAATAAAATCAATCTGAAGTGATATGTATTACTACTTATATTAAGCTTCTAATCCTTTAGGCACTTTATAAATATTAAACAATCAGTCCTGGTGAGACTGATAAATATCCATAATATATTTTACAGATGAAGAAACAGACAGAGGGGTTAAGTGACTTGCCCAAGGCCAAAAAGGGAATAATCAGAGGCCGGACTGGAAACAACAGCGCAGTCTCCTAGCCACATACTTGGGCAGCTTCTGAAAAAGGTAATTCCCATATCAGAGGCAGCCCGGCGAGGGTTAACGTGGCACCCATCTACACTGGGAAGAGCCACGTGCACTTGGCTCATTGCTCTGGCATAGCACCCACGCTACAAAACAAGGGCAAGCTGGTTTAAAACTAGCTCAGTTTTTCCTGCACCGCTTTATGCCGTCCATGCAGCCCAGCGGCTGCCCCAGAGCCTCCAGAACCCGCGCCGATGCCCCGGGCGGCTCCGCTGCCCCTTCCTCCTCTGCTCCGCAGCCCCAGCAGGGCCGAGGGGCTTTGGGCCCCCTCCTCCTCCTCCTGCTCGGGCAGGCCCCACCTGTGGAGAGGCCCCCGCTCCATGCGGGAGCCTCGGCTGCGCCGCGGTGCGGGATCGGCTGCCGCGGCGGCCCCCGCGCTCCCTGCGGAAGGAGGCGATCCTGATCGCCCGCGTCTCGGGACTGCAGCCAGCCCCGCTGCAAAACGCAGGTCTCTGTCTCTTCACACAGAGGGCAGGAACAACAAATCATGACATTGAACAGTTGGGGGAAAAAAAAGCATTATGCAATATATTCTTAGTCTCTTTTACAAACAGAAGTATTTCCTTTTACATACAGAAATGCAAGGCTCACACAGACAATAAAGCAGCTCAGCGTGCAGCTATTGGTGTAGATGATAATTCTAATCAGAAATGTTCATTGAACAGGCCTGATAAAACCACTTGTGATTTTCCAGGCGCGATCACACCACTTCTGTGATAAAATACTTGTCTTCATGATGAGGATGATGCAACAGAACACCCTCTGGATTCCTTGTTACTGCTGCACCACTGTGTTAGTCCATCCGTGTTTGCTTTTCACCTCTGTGTATGAAACGCAGTTAAGATCAGGAAGAGGCGAGTAACTGCTGACGCTGTAAGACATACAGTATAAAGTACTGAGACAAGATATGGGACAAGGGCAGGTTTTCCTCACGCTGAGTTCAAAAAAAGAGAAAAAAAAAAAAAAAAGGAAAAAGAAAAGCATTACAACCTAGCCTGAGAGGACTCCCCTCTAGTGGGAATGAGAGTGTACTTCAATCAGCACCCACATAATCCCTCCAAGAAGAGGAAATGGGGCAAGCATCATCTTTCTTTTAATCCTCACCAAAATACATCATTTCATTTCCAACACGAAAAGTAAACTAGAGATTCATTCTCAACATAGAGATAAATTAGGAGCTTCTCATTATGTACTTATTTGTGGCAGTTAACCATTTCCTATTTTAATCGCTTGTTCTGAGCACAAATGCAAATGTGTTATCTTGGAGGGAGGCGGGGTGTCTTTTACAGCGAAAAAATCAGTGCGTCATTAAAAACAAAAACAGACTTGGTTCTTAAATGAGCCACCGTTGACTTCATATGCCCAGAGCAGATAGAGTAGCTTCTCCCAGGTACTGGGCTGAGCCTCTGCTCAGGGTCCTCCTCCACTTCAGTCTGCTTTCCAGTCCTCAGAGCATATTCGCATGCTCAAATCGGCCTACCTGTCCCGCATTTTATTTATACCTAAAAGCAACTTTTAACAGGTGCCTTCTTCAGCCTACCTGAAGAGCCACAGGGCCTTTCTGCTTTTAAGGGAGCAGAGCCAGGCTGCGGCACCCCGTGCTGCTGCAGCACGCTGCCACCGTCACCCGTCACCGCCTCGGACGGGCAGCGGGCCGAGCGCGGCCGCAGGACGGCGCCAAGGGGGCCATTCCCAGCGCGCGGCCGCAGGAAGCGCCCACCTCCCACGGCACAACCTGGGCTGAAACGGGCCAGCTCGGGCGGCTGTAGCGGGGAGCGCTACGGCTCAGGTACTGCTCCAGAAGGTCCTCACTGAACAAGGGCTGGAATTTTTAATTCAATTACAGGATGGAAAAACATTCATCGACTCCCCATTATCCTGTAGGATCCCT